GGAAGGCCCCTGGGAGAAGCTGCTAGAGTCCCCTGGGAGGGGAGGCAGTGAGAACCTGGGAAGATAAAGACTGTCCAGGGATAAAGCCTGGGGGCAGTGCTCAGCTAAAGAAGCAAAGAAGAACAAGCGAGGCCCACAAGCAGGTTGAAGAAAAGGGAACTTCAGCGAGCGATGGACTGCGAGAGGGACATCAGGGAAAGCAGCCAGGGAGTTGGTACTCTGTAGCAGGGCAGGGAAGGACCTAAAGGTAGCCCAGAAAGGGCTGAGAACTGAGACCAGACAGCAGGCTGAAGAGGAGCAAAAGAACCATTTGTTTAGATGATCTTTTGACTGGACTCCTGTTACCGGGGACTGAACTTGAGAGATGACCTGGGCCACGAAAGCTGCACAGTGCTGGAAAACCACAACAGCAGCCAATAGCATTTGCCTCTTGGCTGGAGGGGGCACCCTGGTGAGTTCCCCCCTGGCACACCCACCTGTTCCAGCACCCTGACTTTTGGGTGTTTTCTTCCCCTGAACTTACTTAGCTTCGCCCCTCACTGATGTTCTATTAAGGCCTTGATGAAGCCAGTAGCCTGTGATCTGTATCAGTGCCGCTGTGTGCAAACCTTTTGAATACCTGGTACTCCCACTTTTCCAGCAGTATTAGCAGTGGGATGCTAAGCTGCAGAGATGGTGCAGGGACCATCCTTCTGAGGTGTCTTATACAGCGTCAAGCACACTGTTGGCAGTTAGCTATAATGAATCAGTCAGAATATTCTGCACATGAATGGCACTTTTCATATATAACATTCCCCCTTAACTAATACAAGGCTCTCAAATCAGGTGTTCATCGCTAATTAAGCTAATGAAGTAAGTAGTATTATTCCCGTTTTACAGATGGACAAACTGAGGCACACAGAGAGCAAGGGATTTAGCCAATATTATTATTTTATTTGTTATTTTGAGGTCCCCAAAGTGTGCCAGACATTGCTCAGACACAAGTAAAGATATTATCCTTGCCCTGAAGGGCTTACAATTTATATTCATTGTGTCACAACAAGCGGGGCCATAAAAAGACAAAGTGGGGCAAGAGGATAGGACGGACAAAGGTGACAATAATAAGAGCTCACGGTTACTTAATAAGGCATGTACGCACATCCTCCCCATTCTCACAGTAATAAAGCTGGTAATAATTTCCCCAAGCATCACTAGAATACACAGCAAACATAATAGGGCCCAATGCTCCATTACCCTGAACCTCATTAGTCATTTACATCTGTGCAGAGTCAGTTAAAACACTACTGTAATGACACCCCAAGAGGGTGGTTTTGGGGACTGAACCCAGGACATCTTCAGCAAAAAGCATTCACTGCTAGTGGCTGAGCTAAAGGACCAAGGAAGCTAGGAGCTCGGGGCGGCTCTATGTTTTTTGCTGCCCCAAGCATGGCAGGCAGGTGGCTTTCGGCCTGCGGGAGGTTTGCTGGTAACGCGGATTCGGCGGCATGCCTGCGGGAGGTTCACCGGTCCCGCGGCTAGCCGCCGCCGAATTGCAGCCGAAGCCGCGGGACTGGCGGATCTCCCGCAGGCATTCCGCCGAACTGCTGCCCTTACGGCGACCGGCAGGCCGCCCCCCGCGGCTTGCCGCCCCAGGCATGTGCTTGGTGCGCTGGTGCCTGGAGCCGCCCCTGTAGGAGCCTAAATACATTTGAGAATCTGGGTCCAAGTCCATTAGCTCAGAGCAGACTCATAGACCACTATGCTTCATCTAGCCACTAGAGTGGGACAAAACCAGTGTGTGTTAGCATGGCTTGTGCTACCCCCTCTGATCTGTTAGCCTTTACATACGCTTTGCACTCACAGGTGTAAATGATTGCACAAAGTGCAGGGCAAAGAAGAATCAGACGCAGCAGCTAACTCCACCCATTAAGAATGCAGCTTGAACTTGATGATACTGTACAATGCAAATAGCTGCGCTGATGTACCACAGTTACAGCCATATAATAAGTTCTCTGTCAAATAGGCTTCACTTAGCATTATGTTCTTGGAGATTTTCATGCTAATCAGTGACAAACACAAACCTTATGTACATGCACTCTGCTTGGAAGCAAAACTTCCATGACTAATTGTGTTGTTCCCTTTAACAGACTGGTGAGTACAAGATCACCTATTTACAAAGGGCTACAGATCAGATATCTTCTATGCTGATGTGTGATCAGAGCTCGACATGCAGCTGTTAATTAAATATTAGAATTCTAACAAGTGCAGGAAACAAGCAGAATTACTCAAGGCTAATTGGGAGAAACTCACCTCTAGGAAGAAGCCCAGTACACTACTCAAATCCCACTTAAGCCCCTGAATAAAACACAGTTTATGCAAAGTTCCGGTAAGTCAAGGAGTCAGTCGAAATGAATACATTTTGTGCTTCTCAGCACTGATTGGTAGGACCATTCTGGTTTCAGTTACTGTACCAATATTGATCTAGGGATGTGGCCTAGAGCCCACTTGGTCTATAAGGGTACAAAGTCTTCTAGTGGACTCAACCTCTAGCCCAGAAGTGGCATCTTCTACACACTAATCAAGAGAAACAAATTCTCCTCATCGTCATGGCAACTAATATCAGAAGAAGACTGCAGAAAGCTCATCGGGAAGGAGCAGAAATGTGGGCCTTTGGCAGATTGCCAGATCAATAGGTAAAGATACAAAATGAAATCATGCACAGATCATCTGACTGCAGCACGCAGAATTCAGAAGGGAATCGAAAGGATAGCTGCCGCCAGACAGTTCAGGCATGGTCAAGAACTTGGGGGCTAATCCCGTAAGGTGATGAGCATCCTCAACTTCCACTGACGTCAATGTGTGAGATTCTCAGCTGATGTAACTTGGCTCCATTGAACTCAATGGGGCTGCTCCCATTTACATCACCTGAGGATCTAGCCCACTGGATATTAATGGATCTTGCTATTTTGTAGCATGAGATAGTTTAGCTCCTGTCTTCACAAAATCTGACCTGGAGAGAGCTCTGTGTGGCTCCAGAACTTGTCTCTGTCACCAACAGAAGTTGGTCCCACAGAAGCTATGACCTCACCCAACTTGTCTCTCTAATACCCTGGACTGACATGGCTACAGCTACACTGCAGTCACTAAATCTGTCCCACATGCTGTGGTCTGAGGGAGAATATGCATGGGTCAAATTCTGCCCTGACCTACCACTTTGTCTAGGGAGGTATCTACCTAGCTATTGTATTTCTAGGACTCTGCTCATCGTAGTATCTATGCACTGAATACCTTCCATCATGTGCAAGCCCATTGACTTGCATGAGATTGCACAGGATGTCAAGTCATGACAAAACATGATCCCATATAGGTCTTTAAAATTGACCTAGTATCTTTTATATGAAAGTGTTGGTCTCCTTTCTGATTTGCCTTTACTTTCAGCAGTGCCTAATATTGGCTTCCATCTTGTCAGTACCCGGTTCTTGGTTTCCCAGCAGTAGCTGCAGAGCAATGTCTTGATAAAGAGAGGAACTCAGACTCCAGAAGCATGATGTACTGTTCTTTTCTAAAGAAGAATGAGTATTCTGTTTCTTAAGGTTTGCAGGTAAGTTGCCCAGACAAAGGGTAAAAAATATCACTGACGTAAGAAAGCACAAAGCTCACTTCCATGACACAATTGACAACACACTTGATTTACATGTGGCTTGGATTTAATGTGTGTGACTCAATCCCCTTCATGTATTTTCATAATGTGCATCACTCTTCTGGAAGTGTCACGGCTCATTACAGCTGGCATTTCTACATCAGAAGCCTTTCTCCTCAGCCATTTGGTCCTTCCACATGAGAAAGCCTGTGAGCAGAGTGAGATGCTAAGCAAAGAACGGGTGTGACACTGGCTAAGTGTCACCTCAGTCCCCCATCTGAGATCTGTCAAAGACTCCAATGATCCAAACATCTTAAAGTACCAGCATCTGTGACTGTACCTTTAGTAGCATGGAGGCGTAGGATCTACAGCCAGGAGAAGGACAGTCAAGTCAATCTGACCAAGTTCCCATGTAAATCTGGGATTGTTGGTTTTGCATCATCTGAAAAGGGAAGTGATCTGCATAGTCTCCGAGAGGGGTAACAGAGGCAACGAATAGAGTAACCCCTCCAACTGCTGTCTGTCATCCATAGATGGTGCTAGTTCTCGATGCACCTTGTTAGTGAGCAATGGTTCTGGTTTGTACTAGTTTAGTGTGCAGTGGGGTGTAGTTTTCTGGAATACTGCCGTCAAGAAGCTGGCCAAAAGAGGGTACACGAGAAGCCCTGGCATGAACTGAGATTTTCTTGAAGCTCAAGTGGTAGAAGCCTGTGGGGTTTTTGAAGTGACAGGTTCATGGCTGTATCCCCATGCTGCATGGGCAAGTTTAACTGCCACCCGCCAATGTCTATGTATGTGAGTAGTTACGGATGTGTTACAGATCTGCTGGATGTGAACTACTGTGAACCTCATCAGCTGAGAAGATGAGTGTTACCTAATAGTGGGTGGGAGGGGGTCAGTAATGTACACATTATATATACCCACATTCCTAGAGGAATGTAGGGAGAGAGGACCTAGGACTGGAAGGAACCTCCTGGTCACTGAGTCCAGTCCCCTGCTATTGCAGGCAACTCTTTTATAATTCTGTTCGTAAACTTAGTGGTCAGCCTATAGCATGTAAGTGTCCTACTAATACTGACAGAGGAGAATTTTCACTAACTCAAGTGTTTGAGTTGGAATTCCTGGGTTCTACCCGCAGTGATAAGGGTGCGCAGCTTAACTGATGACCCTGCTGTCTGTGTGCAACCATAGATGTCTATTAAGTAGTTAGAAACAAAGCAACTTCTTGTGCACATGTCCTGTTTGCGTGAAGTCTGTTTTCAGAGCTGTGCCACCTCACTGATACATACAACTTGGTATCTCCTTTGATCTTCCTCACTTATCTATACTGATTATCTTTCCTTGCAGTCAATGACTGTTCTTCCAAAATTTGGACAGCAGCTGGCTATGGTGCACATGTTGGAGTCAGACTATGGTGCCATCTGTTTTTTTAGCATCCATGTGTAATAACCTTCCTGAAGTCTCTTCAGTGGAGACTTCAGAAGCTGTTCCCTGCTGGCTAGATGAATTATGCTGGCAGCTCAGTATCAGCGACTTCACTTCTTTTTTGAAGTTATTGTTTAGGAACCCATAGATAACAGGGTTGACACAGGTGGAAGCCATGGCTACTAGATGGCACAATGAGAAGATCAGGTTGTGGTGGCAAGGGGAAATGGCTTTGTAATCCCAGTCCTCAATGCTATTGAAAACATGCAATGGTAACCAGCAAACAGCAAAGGCGATCACCATGGATACTAATAAAATGTTTATCCTCCTCAGCTGAACCACCCGGCCATTGTATGCACTCTTCTCAAACATGTCCTTTCTCTTCTGCAGGCGTAAATAGATACGCAGGTAGCAAACCAGGATAAAGAAGAGAGGGATGCAGTACTGGAACAGCAGCAAGGCGGTGGTGTAGATGAGTCGGTGCTGGTCAGACGGCCACGAGTCCATGCATATGGCCTTGTCGGCAGAAGAATCTGTAATATAGGATATCTGCTTGTACAAGTCATATGTCAAGACGGAGGTCGTCAGAAAGGGCAGGGACATGAGGCAAGCTAATGTCCAAATGACTACAATCCCTAGATAGGCTTGGGGGATGCTTGGCCTCCAACCAGTTGGATTTATGATGAGCTGGTGTCTTTCCAGACCAATGAGGACAAGGGAGAGAATTGACACACTCACAGAAGTGCACTGGATGAAGGAAGTCATTTTGCACATGACCTCACCAAATATCCAGTAGTCCATCAGGGTGTAGATGATGGTGAAAGGCAGGCAGACGATGCTCATGAACAAGTCAGAGACTATCAAGTTGGTAATGAGTATGCTGGTGACATTGGCCTTCTCCTTCTGCCTGACTATGACACTAATCAGGCAAACATTTCCCAGGATGCCTAGGATGGTTTCTAAGCTATAGGAGGTGACTAGAAAGACAGTAAGGTCAGTTGTGTTTCTGCAGTAACCTGGGATATGTGTGAGGAGGCCTCGCTCTAAACTCCAATTCTTATTGAATGGAAAGGGAAGGACCATGTTAAGATCTTCGGTCTTGCTCATGCTGGAATCAGAAAGAGAGCCCAGAAATATGCAGGGAAATGAGTAGGATCTGGGTCTTCAGGGCCCTACCATAAGTTCTTCTGTTCAGTCATGTAGAGACTCTGGAAATGCCTGCAAAGGAAAGAGAGAGATTAGTTCATCTCTTCTAGCAAAATTAAACAAACAGAATTTTCTGGGGGTGATGAGCGTTTTCTTTCCCCATGAACACTTTTCCATCTTCCTTTGGTTCACTGCATTAGACCATAAACTGGAGTAGTTTGCTGGACAGTGAAATGGACCAAATGCACTACTGGAGTAAGCAGGTTCAATTCCACTGAAGTCAGTAGTATTGTGACTGAATGGGCCAGTAGGGCAGCTAAACCAAAATAATTTCCTGAAAGTCAGTAGCACTGCAGAGTTTCACTTCAAGTAAGCCAGGGTCAAATGATGGTTTGGGGTGAAAACCATGTGAAACTCATTGGAGCTGCAAAGTTCTGATGCCAAACTAGGCTGAATTAGTTGGCTTTGGCCATATTTCACCTCTAGTAGTTGAAGTGAAAACCAAGAGGTGCAAACTCCATCAAGCGGAGTCAAAAATCATGTGGCATGAATTGTCCGTGAATGGAACACACTATTACATTCTTAACGCCACCTATCTCTGGTTTGAACTGGACAGCAGCACCTTACAAATATTCACACCCAAATCCTCACCTGGTGTAAACTGGCCTTGCTCCACCAAAGTCAAAAGGACTATGTGATTTACTCTGACTGTGGAAATGGCCCTTAATTTGTGCACGGTCTAGTATCAAATCATCCATTTTGTGAGAGTTTCACAAAGACTGAAATTGCCGAGTCACAAAATCCAAATGAAATTACGAATATTTTTTCCACGCAGCTTGGTAAAAGGTTCTTAGTCAGTTTTTGATGCTGCGAAGGAAAATTGACCATGAGTGAAGTCAGAAAGAAAGAGAAAGGGGATTAATGAGCTAATGAGATGCTGAAGGGATTTTTTTTATTATTAATCCAATCAATACTTTATTTTCAAATAAAGTTGGACAATAAAGACCCGATTTTCAGAGGTGCTGAGTATGCACTGCTCCTATTGACTCCAGCAGGAGTTTGGCTGCTTGGTACTTCTGAAAATCAGACCCTAAATCTTTTATTCAATGGTGGAATTAATTTTTGGCACAGCTGGAGTTCCCATCAGATTAGTTCATTTGAAGGAATAATATACATTAGATTTTCCTTGTCTTTCCCATTGTTATTTAGAGAATAATAGAAAGAAGCCAATAAAGGTATATTTTTCAGTGAGTTGCGTAGGTAATTGGACTCTTGTCAGTAGTAACAAGAGCCGCATAGCTGATTTCATTCTGTCCTTTGCAAATTTCTGTGGGAAAATTTCAGTTTTGCCAGAATTTTTCAATGTTCCATTAGGAAAACCAAAATGAAATATTTTGTTTCAGAATGGGCCAGCTCAAATTGAAGCATTCGTTTGTCCAACCAAATACAAACATTTCATTTTGGGTCAATTCTACATTAACCTTTATCTTCTTGAGCTGTTGCAGTGTCTCCTGGGAGTTTCAGTTCAGGTGCATTATGCCCCCACTCTCCACTATGGGCTAGGCTCCATAGCTGCACTACATATCCCATGATGCACCGCAGTCTCCCCCCTCCCCCGATGGTGGATGAGCCCATCAGGGTGCATCATGGGAAATATATTCCAGCTGGGGAGCCCTGCCTATAGAAGAAAAATGGGGGTATGTGTAACTCAAACTACAACTCCCATGATGCAATGCAGCTACTCCGGCAGTCGAAGTTCAATGTTGACCTGACCTTCCATTATGTGAAAAAAATGATATTTTGACTTTTCATCCTGATTTGGAATGACAACAATTTTCGAGATCTTGGAATTTCCCACCCAGCTCTAGAGGTTTATATTAGTTCCCATTGTGAAACCACCACATAATTTGGCACAATGGGAAGTCCCTAATCAAGGGTGGCCCAGCATTGTAATAACTGCATAGACAGGGCACAGTGGTCCTTGACCACTACTGCAACCTATTGTCAAAGGGGAGCGGGGCACACAATGCCCATTAAGAGTCAATGGAAATCCCAGCCATGGGCTCCAGTAGTGTCCATAGCCCATCTCTGCTGATACCCCACCCACAGCCCTTCCCCCCAACCCCAGAGCAAGGCCCATTTACTCCGGCTTTGCACAGGGCTGTGCATTCCATTTCTGCAGGCATTTACCCCTATCCTCCACAGAGCCAGTGCCATGGTCCTGTGCTGGAGTCCAAATCTTCTGATGCATCCAGGCAGGGAAGGAGCAGACATCACTCCCTCAGGGAGCTCACCTGAACAAGCAGGCTGCTACATGGAGTATTGAGGCTCACAACATGCAAGGTAAATATATACTCACCAAAAGCCATTATTTACTGATTGCATAAATCTTTACTCTGCAATAACTGCTACCCAAACAGGCTTGTGAGTTTGAGATAAACTTTTTACGGCTGCAAAAAAGCAATCATCGGACTATTACCATGTAAATAAAATGGTTTGACAAGCGTATCACATTGTTTGAGTAGCATTTATTGCTGAGGAACAGCATGTGCACAGGTGCCCCAGTGTGGTGTAGAGGAGGGCTGGTTTTTTTCCTCTTTATTCATTGTATCAGTTGGGTCAGAAGTTGCTGCTCTCAAGAACCCAAAAGAAAAGTTTCAATCTAAAATAAAGTAAAAGGAGCTTCAATCTCTTTTCTCCGCTTCATCGGAGAAAATTAAAGCAGCAAAAAAGTGGAATGTTCTATAAGACAAACACGCAGGAGTGTCTAACTGCGATATTCAATCACACGTGTAGGAGTTAGTGTTCTTGATTCTGATTTGGGGGGAGGGATAGCTCAGTGGTTTGAGCTTTGGTCTGCTAAACCCAGGGTTGTGAGTTCAATCCTTGAGGGGGCCACTTAGAGATCTGGGGCAAAAGCGATGTTAACCTTTGATCTAGATTCCCCTCCTTTTCCTTCTCTCTCTTTCTACCTTTCTTTTCTTTGACATATTAGGTGTTTGGATAATTCAGTCTTGGAATGAGTGGAGAATGTGGAAAATGTCCATATTCTTTCTAGGAAGAACACATATGGCTCAGTTTCCCCCCATTCACTTTTGTATTGTTACCGCCTGGGTGTGAAGGGGTTAATTTCCTTTCTGGGGTGGTGGATAAAGGAAGGCAGTGATTGGGTGCGAGTCACGACCTGAAGAAGAGCTCTGTGTAGCTTAAAAGCTTTTCTTTCACCAACAGAAGCTGGTCCAATTAAAGATATGACCTCACCCACCTTGTCTCTAATATCCTGGGACCAGCATGGCTTCAACATCACTGCAAACAGCCTGTGAATGCAGCTCCCTTGTGGATGCAATGGATGCCAACCATCAGATCACTGATTTTTAACAACTATTGGCCACAGGGGGCAGGACATGTGAAAACAGCATGACTAGGACTTGAGACCATAGAACGGAAGATCCTGCCGTACCAGGGCAGGGATGCAATCGTGGATGTCTGAGCAAGACAGGCAGGTCATGCTGCCAGCATGCACGTGGGTCTGTAGGCCTTGCATTATCGTTCTAATCTAATGACCCTAAATAATGTATTCCAGGTGACTAATAGATGGTGTCTTGTTTTTGAGAAGGCTGTCCTGTGTCACTGCAGCCATCTGCTGGTTGCATAGCTCCCCAAAGGGTAAGTTTCCAGTGGGGGTCCAGATTCATCTGGACCTGCTGAAAGAGGCATGGTGAGAAATAGGGTTGTTGGAGCTAAGGCCCCAATCTTAGGATAGCTGGGACACAGAGCTTCCCCTTGTAAAAAGTGGAGGCCCAGGACTATCACTAAGGGTATGTTTGCAAAGCAATTGGGAATTGTGATAGCAGCACATGTAGATGTACCTTAGTTAGCTTTGTGATTGGAGCATGTGTAGTCACTTCTGAGTTACTTACTCAGATACATACCCAGGGCTAGCCCATGCCACTGGCTGAGCTGCTGCAGCTTCGCTGCTATTGTTACTCAAGCTAGCTTTGAACTAGCTAGATTAAAACTAGCTCAGATATGTGTATACATGCTGCATTTGCACCTCCTGATTGCAATGTAGACATACCCTAAGAACGGGATGCTCCCAGAGGGACTATACAAAGGTCAGAGACAAAGCACCCCCTGTAGATCTGTGACAGAGAGCCTGTAAGGTGGGGATAATGAACATTATCATGGAGTGTATCAGAAGGCTGTGCAACACAATTTGTTGTGTTTAAAGTCCAATATTTTTAATACTTTGCATTTCTATAGCACCTTCCATTGGAGGATCAAAGCGCTTCCAAGACATTTACTCTCACGACACTCCTTTGAGGTAAGAGGAATTGTTACCCTCATTCCACAGAGGCGGGAACTCAGGCACAGGGAGGTGAGAAATTATTTGTCCACTATCCAGAGGGCATAAGTTTCATTCTATCCAGGTTCACATGCCCATCAGCCTGGCATGTGTAGTAGAGCCAGGAATAAAACCCATATCTCTTGGGTTCACAGTTCTGTGCATCTCTTCCTCCACTGACCATGATGTAAAAAGTAGTTCAAGGAAAATAAGGGATAATATGGTGACCTTATATATGTCCTATCTTCTCCCCCAAAGGATCTCAAGGCTCTATCACCTAGTCACAAGCATTGCTTCATGCATCACACATGGAATTATAACTAAGCACTCCCTTACTATTAGAAGCCTGCCTGGACCATTATTTCTTCGTGTTAATAATCGTGTTTATTACAGTAGTGCCTAGGGATCACCCAAGAACAGATCCCCGTTGCTCAAATAGAGAGTAGCAGACAGCCCATACTGCCAAGACCTTACAATCTAATGAGCAAGTCAGACAAAGGCCAGAGGAAAGGGCTGTAACATAGAAGAAGAAGAAGATCTATTGCCATTTTGCCACTCATGTCACTCTCTTGGGACCTGATTCACAGCCAATTGAAGCCAATGGGGGTATTTCCAATGACTGCAATGGGCTTTGGATCAGGCTCTAGGAG